CGATCTTAACTGAGAGCTCCATTTCTCTGAATCTGTTTAAAAATATCTACAGTCTGCGTGAAGAAAGCGAGCAATTTGTCGAATTATTTCAATACCTGTAGGCTATTGAGATTCTGATCCTCGAGTTACGAACATTTCTCTTAATAATAATAATAATAACAATTTAAAAACAATTGAACAGACGATATTATTTTATTTATGGTAACTAAATTTTTAATGATTGTTTTAGACGGTTTCCGCCGCTCGATACTGTGCGTCTGAAAAACGGCACATGTATCGAGGTTGGCATGACTTCTCAGCCTTATGGCTAAGATCAAAGTGTAGTATCTGTTCTTATCAGTTTAATCTGATTTTCTCTCTTCACTTTTATCTTCCTTCTTTCATTTTCTTACTGAAACCAAATAGTGTCTTTTGCCTTTTTCCATCGATCAAAACGGAATGGTTCATTATTTACGAGGTATTGGCAGGGCGTAATGCTCGTGCGGACTAACAAAGAGAGGGACAAACAGTTATATTAGGATGAGTAAATAGGACTGCGTAACCAATTGATAAATCAGTTTAGTGACTGATTCTTACATCTCTGACACTATCGCCGTTAGCCAAAGTGGCTCAGCTTCAATAAAGTCCGATAACCATTCCTCATCTCAAGGAGGATCTTTCTTTTATCGCAGAATAATCTAAATATCTCCATTCGGATATCATATGGTCTGCCTGATTTTATTTCCTGGGGTGTGAGAGAGATTAAATGCATGGTTTATTTTCATCTAACATCCAGAAAAAAGAAGAAATCATTAGGGTTAATAGAAAGAAAGAAAGAAAAAAACATTCATTTTTGCATAATTCTTTCGAACCAGCGAGTGTATCGAATGTTTTTTATGCGCCTCGTGATAAGCAAGCTGTTACCGCAGATCAGGTAAAATAAAAGAAAGCGTGTCTTTGTATCTCACCTGGAATGGGTTAATAGCTATAAATCAAATGGTTTAACGCGCGCTCATAAATGTAACCGAATGTTTAACTTTTTATACACATGCCTGCTTTTGATAGCTACAAAAAAGACTGATGTCCTGTCTACATTATATATTTCGTTGAGACGATGACGTCATATGCTTTCTGTTAAATGATTGGCTACACTAAAAGAAATAACCTGAAGTGATAATAACTGTGTGATAGCGTCTTCTCATCAGGGACAGAAGTAAGCTCTTCGCTGAACTACATTGTTGTGTTTGAGAGAAACGGAGGAATGAGTTGAAGATGTCGCTAGTATTTATAATGCTGTATGTCACGTGAAAAGCTCGGAATAGACACACATTTTTGGCGGTAAATTAATTTTAACCGTGCGATTGACCAATCAGGAGTCAAAGATTTGTGATCCACTTTATATACAGATTTTGTCGATCGCAGTACTGCTACGTAGGAAATGTATTGGAATCTTTTTAACCAATGGAATCAGATCACAAATAAAATATTAAATTGAAGAACACTAAAAAATATCAGCAGTAGAAAAGACACCATTATCTTTTGCCGACTATTACTACTAAATTTTCAAAACCAGTTTTCCCGGTAAGTAGACGTTGTAGCCCCAATTAACAAAATGCGTGCATGAAGCAGTTCATTTTATTCATCTTAATCTTTTGTGTGGTATTATTCTAAGCCGATCTACGTCTTCTGAATGAATCGACTATTCATCAATCAAACAACTACTCTATAAAAATAAAGCTACTAAAACAAAAAAATAAAATAAATAAAAACAGTCACGTGTCAAAGATGAGCCCTTTTTAAATTCTTTACGGTCTCATGATGCATTCGTACAATGAGTACATTGAGTAAACAACGCAATAGGTTTCATCAAGTGATATTGATACGTATGAGAGTCGAAGGCGACGTTAACAATAGTTACACACATTCAATAGAATCGACAATGCGTACCTTTTTTCCCTCCTTGATAGAAAAGTCAATGCGTAATGAACACAAGGAATACCATTCATTGATTCCAAAATTACATATAAAATCATGCGCAGAGACGTACAAATAGCCGTGTGCAAACAAGATACAGAGAAGGTTTGCCACTGCTGAAGGCACACACACACACACACACACACACACACACACACACTATACAAAAAGGTACTACGCACTAACACAACCTGAATATGACCTATACAAAGAATAAGAACCTGAAGATATTTAAATATGCATATAAAACACACACACGTATATATATTTCATACATACAAATAATACATTTGTGCTACGGATTAGGAATCAAACATACATTTATTATGAGTATAAATTTTAGCAGTTTTTATGGAAAACTGAGTGGACGTATAAAAACAATGTGTGATGCGTTATATATATATATATATATATATATATATATATATATATAAAGTGGACACTGAGGTCAACAACGAGCGGTGACAGTCTGTTAAATACAATCATCAGGTCCTGCGTACGCTTTATCACCGATATTAAGCACTTTTACCCATAAATATAACACACCTTAAAACTAACATTTTATATACCTTAGACATTTTATGTGCAGCTGTACTCTAAAGTGACTGACTAAAGCAACACACCTACTGACGTCAGTAGTGTGACTTAAACATCTAAAAAGTAAATAAAATGAAAAGAGTTATTACTAAATACGTTACTGTAACTAAGAATCAATAACACAAGACCTAACGGAACGTAATTGGCATTTCAGGTCAAAATTTACACTTGTGAATCTATCGAATAAATTATGAGCGTTACTCCCATCTGTGGCACCATCTCCAGGGGGGTTAATTTTTTGTACGGCCTTCCTCTGCCGCCTTTCCGGAAATAAAAGCGCATAAAATGACGAAAATGTCTTTCATTCCTCTATTTCATTTTTACTGTTAACATAAAAACATTTGAATTCACAATCCACAAACGAATTGTAAGGAAATGTGCGTTGAAATGTCACCATTCATAATATGTATCTGTGTCATAAATTTCAGTCGTATCGAGGATATGATGGACCGAATGTGCGAGCAACGAGAAGGTCTTAGAGAGGATGCAAACAAAGAGGAGGCTTATACTTAACATCAGGAAGAGACAAGTGAACTTTCTGGGACACGTAATGAGAAAGGAGTGCCTGTAGAATCTTATACTCACGTGTCGAATAGAGGGGAAAGAGAGACGAGGGAAAGCAACGCATGGCTGGCTTGAGAAACAAGATGGCAGAACGTGGTCTGGTGATAGTGGCAGATAGGGGAAAAGAGAGGGCCATGATCACCTACGCCCTTAAAGGACACGGCACATAAAAAGAAGATGTGAGGGATCTACATATCCAAACACCGCCTATTGAAAAACGTGACGAAACTTCGTTACACACCAATAGTGATAAGATCTGTATAACAGGTTAAAGTTTTCGACGAAAAAAAAAATGCAGTGGTGGTGGGGGGTTCAAAAAGAAAACTTTTTATCAACCATTCGAGTGTCTTTCTAAAATAATGTCTCCTATTTATTCCTGCCGAAACCAAGCCTACAATGGTACTACTCTATAGAGCAAGAAAAAAAAACTGTACTGTACTCACCACTATAGATTTTGGCTATGCGTTTTATGACAGCATAACCAGGGACTTGCATACCGTGCTCCCAACATTGTATGTCACGCGAATCGTTGAAAAGCATTACTCAGAACCTAACTGCGCTCACATCGTTTATTTGGTCTCCGTCATCATTCAGCAAGTGTCAATGAAAGTTAACAGAGACATTTTTTTCGCATCTAGGAATTCTATAAGTTTCGCACGAACTTTCATGTTAGAAGTAATTTTACCAAGCTACCACACAGCTGTTTGTAACATTGAGATGTATACAACATCAGCTCGCAATGTTTTAAGGAATATGGCGGGCATAATTTCAAAATGGCTACGAAGCTTTCATATTAAAAACCCGACGCCATGAAAAAGCAGATTATTATAATAATAATAATTCAAAAAACATTGACAATTTTATGACATTAAAAGCAAAATAATTTAAGATTTTATTTATACGACTTTGTAATATGCACAGTCAATATTTTTTAGACTGCCATGTAGTATCAAATAAGAACTTTTATTTGACTGGATTGGATAATAGATATATCTTAGACGTAGTTCAAGATTTGTTACATTAATGATGTCCACGATGCAAAGGAAATAAATTATTAACTTTGTATACAATGACGTATGTGTAGATCTTGGAAAGGCCGATAGAGTATTTAATATAATCAGAAATACCGGATGACTTTTATTTTTTCCCTCGTGACATATACGCACAAAGGCAATCATATTGATATGACCAGCTAAGTTTAAAAATTAATTCGACATATAAAAAAATGGTGTTTAAAAATTTATGCAAACCTCCATGCATTTTTCTGCAATAAAGTACATTAGATTTTATTTTATCAGATATGACATCGAAATGCTAAAGATCACAGACTTCTACGCTTTTCCGTATATTTGAAACTGATTTTATCTATTTATTAGAACTTTGTTATCTTTAGGTTTGTTTCCTATTTAGTAATAGTTCATCCAGATATTTCGGCGTTATTCATAACCTTTTTTATATTAAAAGAAATGGTTTGCTACTGTTTATGAAGTTTCTTTTATTTTAAATATTGGGCAGTGAGAAATTTTGAACAAACCTTATACTAAATTAATTTTTGGACATGGCTTCAAGTCATGGACCATTAAGCAAGACTCGAACCCTCAACAATTGCAAAATGGACTACTAAACCAATTTGTTTTGCATAACACTGTCCTTAGTTATGCGTAAACCTCTACATTGAGGAAACGCATTTCCTTCAGGAAATTAAACTAAAGACCAGCATCTAAAGATTTTAATTTTCATATCGATGACCGTTACGCCACTTGCATTTCCAATTTTCTATAAAACCAATGTTTTAACTTCAAAAATATATCTGTATTGAATGTATGTGTAAAAAAAAACATATCAACCAGAAATGAGAAAAGAAATATTGACAGGACGTTAATTTGTTATTGGCCAATATAAAGAACGTTTGTAAAGACACTCGAAAGAACGAACGAACGAACGAAAGAACGAACGAAAGAACGTTTGTAATGAAAGAACGAAAGAAAGAACGAAAAAGAACGTTTGTAAAGAAAAAGAACGAACGAAAGAACGAAAGAACGTTTGTAACGAAAGAACGAAAGAAAGAACGAAAGAACGAAAGAACGTTTGTAACGAACGAACGAACGAACGAACGAAAAGAAAAGAAAGAAAGAACGAAAGAAAAGAACGAAAGAAAGAAAGAACGAAAGAAAGAAAGAAGAAAGAACGAAAGAACGAAAGAACGAAAGAAAGAACGAACGAAAGAAAGAACGAACGAAAGAAAGAACGAACGAAAGAAAGAACGAACGAAAGAAAGAACGAACGAAAGAAAGAACGAACGAAAGAAAGAACGAACGAAAGAAAGAACGAACGAAAGAAAGAACGAACGAAAAGAAAGAACGAACGAAAGAAAGAACGAATGAAAAAAAGAACGAACGAAAGAAGAAAGAACGAAATGAAAGAAAGAACGAACGAAAGAAAGAAAGAATGAATGAAAGAAAGAACGAACGAACGAAAGAAAGAACGAAAAGAAAGAACGAATGAATGAAAGAAAGAACGAATGAAAGAAAGAACGAACGAAAGAAAGAACGAACGAAAGAAAGAACGAACGAAAGAAAGAACGAACGAAAGAAAGAACGAACGAAAGAAAAGAACGAATGAAAGAAAGAACGAATGAAAGAAAGAAAGAATGAACGAAAGAAAGAAGAACGAAAGAAAAGAACGAAAGATGAACGAATGAAAGAAAAACGAATGAAAGAAAAGAATGAAGAAGAAAAAAAGAACGAAAGAAAGAAAAAGAAAGAAAGAAAAGAATGAAAGAAAGAAAGAACGAAAGAACGAAAGAAAGAAAGAACGAAAGAAAGAAAGAACGAAAGAAAGAAAGAACGAAAGAAAGAAAGAACGAAAGAAAGAAAGAACGAAAGAAAGAAAGAACGAAAGAAAGAAAGAACGAAAGAAAGAAAGAACGAAAGAAAAAAAAAACGAAAGAAAGAAAGAACGAAAACGAAAGAAAGAACGAAAGAAAGAAAGAACGAAAAGAAAGAAAGAAGAAAGAAAGAAAGAACGAAAAGAAAGAAACGAAAGAAAGAACGAAAGAAAGAACGAAAGAAAGAAAAGAAAAAAAGAAAGAAAAAGAAAAAGAAAGAAAGAACGAAAGAAAGAAAGAACGAAAGAAAGAAAAAAAACGAAAGAAAGAAAGAAAGAAAGAAAGAAAAGAACGAAAGAAAGAAAGAACGAAAGAAAGAAAGAACGAAAGAAAGAAAGAAAGAAACAAAGAAAGAAAGAAACAAAGAAAGAAAGAAGCAAAGAAAGAAAGAAGCAAAGAATGAAAGAAGCAAAGAATGAAAGAATGAAAGAATGAAAGAAGGAAAGAATGAAAGAAGGAAAGAATGAAAGAAGGAAAGAAGGAAAGAATGAAAGAAGGAAAGAAGGAAAGAATGAAAGAAGGAAAGAAAGATTGGTTGGTTGGTTGGTGACGAAAGAAAAGAGAAAGAAAGAAACAGCGGTTGGGAACGAAAGGAAAGAGAAAAGAAATGGCTGGGGTGCAGACAAATGAAAGAAACCGGGGTTTCTACAAAAGGATTATTTATACACTTTTTGAAAATATTCATTCTTTTCTTTCCGTGTCTCCTCCGTCTCGTCTCAGGTCGGTACTGATTTATCATTCTTACTTCGACGAATTCGAGCTTCAAATGTGAGTGGCGCCTGGTTGGCTCATATGAAATTTCACAGGATATTCGTATCCATTGATTGGGGGGGGGTATTTTTGTTTTTTCTTTTTGTGGCAAACGCGACACCGAACACCTCCACACTGAGGCAAGGCCTGTATCTATGTCAGGCTCCGTTAAAAGTCGGATATTATGAAACGAAGAAGATATACAGACTGTGTGACAGGAGTCGTATTTCAATTGAGCATTGATGGAAAGGTTAATCACGTGACCCCCCCCCCCTTGGTCATTTTATTGCGTTGATGCAAGCTGCGTTCCGGTTACGGACGGCAATTCGTACATTTTGATATATTGCTCTCGACCAAATTTTGCAGAATCAGGTTTTAAAAATACGCTACAAGAAACGTTTACCTTTTTGTCGAGTTTGTGTTAATGGGCCTCAATAATATTGTACAGTAAATACAGGGAAGACATCATCTCTTCAGGTAACATATATTTTATCTTTAATATTATCCAGAAATGTGATGTTAATTGATATTCTTTTCGCGTCCTAGTTAAAAGGAGGTACCTCCCACTAACTTCAGTGGTGATTTTTATAAAAAAAAAAAACAAAAAAATACCCCCCCAAAAAAACCCCAAAAAAACTGATTCACTCACTGATTATCAAAGCAACCTATTGAAAGATTGAGACGACATTCTTTCTAGTTTTATTTTGACCTTGTGCCGTGCGAAGTAACGTTTTGTAAATATCAAGATTTATTTATCTTTGCTTAGTTTGCTAGGAAGAGAGCGCTTACCTCCCTTCGAAAGTACTGTAATGATTATGGATTTACATCTGGCTAGGAAATCGTCCACAAGCGATGGAAACTTAAATTTGAATGTGAGTGAGTGAGTGAGTGAGTGAGTGACAGACGATGACAAGCAGAGAGAGAGAGAGAGAGAGAAATAGAATGGCTGCTATCCAAAGCTAGTAGCCGTAGTTTAGCTTGAGAGGAGAAAATAGGTCCAGGTATTTCCTTAAAATATTAATGTGAAGATGACTGAATTTGTATATCCATCTGCCTAATATATAAAACTGTGTGTACGTGGACATGTACCCTCTAGAACGACTAGAAAATACATTAAAATATGTTTGTTGATTTTCTTGCGTGTGTGCGCGCGCAAATATTGCGCAAAATCGTGACATCAATTAAATACAGTTTTTGCATTTACATCTATCAGCATGTGTATTATATCCTGGTCAACTTAACTCAGTGGAATAACTAATTTGCATTTTTCAGCTGAAAAAAATCAATTAAATGTAATGTTATTCATTTCCAATCTAGTCTTATCTTTTTAATTAAGAGCTAATTTTATTCTTGGCTTACCTTAATATATTTATCAAAAACCCATTTTCTGTGCTGAAAGTGGTAACTACCTTAGTATTTCGATCATATCTTTAGGAAAGGGAGATAGATTTCTGAAATATAACCTACAAAAATAAATAACAGTTTTGTTTAAGAATGGATATATTATATAATCTTATCATTAAAAAAGGAAAGTGATGCATTTTGCATACAAGACAAATTGAAAATTAAATTTTCTATATTTTACTTAATACAAGAAACACTACCGACGTTTATAACAGTAGAGCTTCTAATTCCGCTATCTTCACCTTCATCAGAATCCGACCACCCCCTTCATATTCCTATAATAAGAAGGAAGTTCCATTTGGACAGCTTCTTTTCCTTAAAACTATCGCTTTGTGGAACAGATTCATGGAAGGATGTTTTCCCAATCATTACAATCTTGACCGCTATAAGTTTAAAATTAATGGTTATCTTTCCTGCACAGCCACATGAACTTCTTGTCTTTTCTTACACTAATACGCTGTATTCATCAGACTTGAGTGGCACTTGGGCCTTGTATTGGGTGAACATTAGTATAAAATAAATCAATTCACTATGCTATCAGATCACGAAACATATACCGTTTAAAAATACCTCAATGTTTACACCTATTGTACGGCTTTAAGATAATTTCAATAACAGCATTTTATGATAGACAGAAATCTTTTAAACAAAGAAACGACTGTATAGTTTCTAAAAGAAAATAAAAGGAATCTGAGTCATACAACATCAAGTATCATTACTAGCAGTCATAAATACTGATAAAATAACGCTTGTATTCATATCAGAATATTAACGAAAGGCTCACTAATCTTATAAGCAATTAGTTTGAATGTTTTCGTTTTGTTTTGTTTGTTTTTAATCATTTTATTCCAAGCAAATCGATAATGCCACTAGGGCACGTGGGTGGGGTTACATAGAGTGAAAGAGAATGAGAAGACTTTAGTGAAAAGTGAGGAAAGGTCAATAAAGGAACGTAGTTCAGAAAGACAAAAGATGGCGAGTGACGTTGCATTTTAAATTTTTATCGGTGGGTGCAATCTTAATAACAAAAGATATGCAAATGACACTGTTATGATGGCAGATACAGAAAGAAAACTGCAGAAACTCTTAGGTAATGTAGTAAATTTGGTTCAGTTTAGTTTGCTTTACGACATATCAACCTCAATGGGTTATTTAATGCCGACAAGATTTTTATTGCTGGCAATAGCTTTCCAATTTTCTTCAAAAATGTATTGTTGGTAATATTTTTTTTATTCAGAATAATATTACTAATAATATTCAGAAAAATATTACCAGCAATACATTGCTAGGGATATTTGTCCTTAAAAAATGTATTGCTAGTATTAAAACCTATTTTTACACTTTCGTAGTGTTTTGACCCTAGTTTGAGGCTTAACTATTTGCCCATAGCTGAGACCCTAACAGCCAATCCGGGTCAGGGTGGATCTGGGAACACCAGCAATTAAGATGTGGTTCCACGTTCCTCAAAATCTCCTCTTCAGAGTCCTTGCTATCGGATGTAGTTTATCGTCTTACCTAGGACAGAAATATAGTAAAGAAAAGCAGCAAGAAAGTATTAACCTTCAACTATGAGAAGACAGAATGCATGGTTAGCAGCAAGAGGGACCCCTCCTCTGCTCAAGATGCCATATACAAATTTGAGATGCCAAAATGAAGAAAGTACAGAAATTGAAATATCTGGGAAATGTTTTTAGCAGATAATGATGCGATTGTGTGAATGGATGGTTGAATAGGGTGTGGCAGGGATGGTAAAAACACAATTGTTTCTAAGAGTTACAAAGGATAGGAAGATTTTTTTTTTATCAGTTCACTACAAGCTAGATGATAACACCACTAGGGTGCAGGGGTTCACAGGCAGTGAAAACTGAATAAAAAAGACTTTAGTGAGAAATGAGGAAAATACAATAAAGAAACAGAGTTCAGAAAGATAGAAGATGGCGAGTGACGTTGCATTTAAATTTTTGAAGATTGGAAGTGGCAGAGAAGCAGGCAATCGGAAAGGAGTTCCACAGGTGGGAAGTGCGAGTAAAGAAGCTGTTAGCTACTGCTGCATCTAACTAGTTTAACAGTAAAACAGTGAGACCTAGTTGCCAATTTAGTAGCACGTTTAAACTCATAGTCGAGACAGTAAGGAAAAAAGCTCATCAGAACAGTTGCTATAAAATATTTGTAGAACAGACAAAAGAGAGCCACGTCACGTCTGTGAGAAAGTTATTGGAAAAGAGATACCAGATCAAGATCGATTTCATTATAGACAATTCTTTGAAGTTTTTCAAAAATCTAGAGACATACAACAGAAATACAAAACCAGATATGGCAGCAATATTCAGTGCACGGACGATGTTATCGTTGTTTTTCTTTAATAGTCCAAATCCATTCCTGGGTCAATATAGTAAGCAACTATTTGAAACGACATATTTTTGTCGTCTCGTTCAGGTATTGAAGTTAAATTCTATTTGAAGAGAATAAAATCCACTTAAACTTGTTTATTACAAAACAATTATAAATTACAAAGAAAATCAATGCCCCACAAATCAGTAGACTTTGTTCTTTGACTAATTTATTACAATCACAAAAGCTCGGTTCAACACTACTTGAAATCTCAGAGAATCCTAACAAAAGAAAAGACAAGACAAATTAACGTTATTGCCTTAACAACATTAATGATCTGTTTGTTGATTAGAATACAGCATTGTTTCATTGGCGGCAAATTTGAAGAGGGAATCAAGAACGTGTCTACTTCACTTGTTAATCAATATTAATTTGTTTACGAAGGTTCTTTATTAATTAGAAATGACATTATGTCTGTCCGTTAATTTTTTTCCTGGGCGGAAATCGCGTTTCCAGCAAATACCAACCACAATTGGAAGATAAAGTAAGCTCACTACATTAGCCTCGTAAACTCACTGACACGTTCATTGCTTCATTTTCTGTGTCATCAATATGGTGACGCTCAAATTATCTTTCGTCAATAAGTAACAACGGAGGACACTGGCTAGGATTTTATGAATAGACATTATCATTCCTAGAGTTGCTCTTCTTTGAGACGTGTCCCTTCAGGACGTTGTCTATCTTCATGATCTGCGCAGAGAAGTAGAACAAGACTGATAATAACGCTTCATCTGAGAAGGTGTAAAGAATACAAATACGCGCGAGACATGAAATAACTGAGAATCAGGAAGAATTTATTTCAAAGACAGAAAAGAGAGACAGAGAAAACAGACAAAGAGAGACAGACAAAGAAACAGTGAGAGAGACAGACAAAGAAACAGTGAGAGAAAAGACAAAGAGAGACAGACAGAGAAAAACAGACAAAGAGAGACAGACAGAGAAAAACAGACAAAGAGAGACAGACAGAGAAAAACAGAGAGACAGAGAAAACAGACAAAGAGAGACAGAAGAGAGACAAAAAACAGAGAGAAAACAGACAAAGAGAGAGAAAGAGAAAACAAACAAAGAGAGACAGACAGAGAAAAAACAGACAAAGAGAGACAGACAGAAAAACAGACAAAGAGAGACAGACAGAGAAAACAGACAAAGAGAGACAGACAGAGAAAACAGACAAAGAGAGACAGACAGAGAAAA